GTGTGTGTGTGTGTGTGTGTGTGTGTGTGTGTGTCAGTCAAACATCAGCCTCCACAGGCCGACACTCAGACATGTGCAGCTGGGTGACAAACGCTCATTTCACTGCACGCTAATGACTCGCTGACAAATTGCACAGGATGCTCCGGCCTTCTGATTGTTGCTAGGCAAAAATCAGAGAAGGGGACGGGAGCATTGGGGGCGCAGCTGTTATCTGCAGTGTGGTGTTACTGCCATCTAGTGGCTGTGCTGGGAAAGGTGAAGAAACACACTGAGCGCCTCACAGGTGATATCTTAGGAGCCACAACCATCACGTGCTGCACCGGGCACATCAACAGCAGGCGCTGGGTTTGGACTCGCTGCTGGTAACAGATCGGAACATTTCTCTAACTTTTCTCACTCATTTGTTGGACAAACTGTAACAATCATGATTACGATCACCTGTTTCAGTTTACATCACCGTCACATTATTTACCCCATTCCTGTCCCAGTTTTAGTCCTGAAACCCCAGAATGGCTGTGAATGAACAGATGACACAAACCAAACCTGAGATATGCTGAATTCATGCTGCCAACGTTTACATAAAAACACCGGCGGCATCAGCCTCCTTGTGGAGACACGTGTGGTATCAAACTCCTGCATCACATTGTTCTCAACTTATAGTCACAAGATTTTCAGAAACCTTGACCACTGATTTTAACCTCGGGGTCAAAGTCACTATGATTCAAACTTGTCAGAGATTTTTAGTAGATACACCCATTGTATAGATGCTCCTATGTCACCTCGTTCTCTCGTTATTACATTCACACACCATGCCGCCCGCCCGTCACGTCATGATAATCGGCCGTTTACAGCTGAGGGATAAAAATCCAAGAAAATATACGAAGGGTGTCCCAGCAGGAGGGTCCTGGGTTTGAATGCAGCCCAGGGCCTTTCTGTGGGAGTGTGTGGGTGTTCTCCGGCTCCTCCCACAGTCAAACACATGCAGTGAGTGTGAACGTTGCCTCTGTGTGTCCAGTCTTCCTCCCTGACCTATGATAGCTGGGAAGGCTCCAGCCCCGCGTGGCCCTGAACTGGAGAAGCGTAAGAAAGTGGATGTTTGTTGTTTTTCTACACAGTCTCAACTTTATCTACCGTGGGTCATACCATTTATGCAAATTACACTATATTCAATTAGTGAATGTGCATTTCACATATTTTAATCCATTGTCACATAAAATAGTCTTAATGTACGTTAACGGCTGGAAACTGTTGACATTTGAATCCGTATTCATTTTCCTCACGATGTAATTATGGAATTTCATAACGAGCTCCTGGTTTACGCTGAGTGCAGCAGACAGATAAACGCTGAACGCTTGGCCTTAATTTGACTTTAACCTCTGCAGCTTAAAACCCATCAAAGCTTTCACACAGGAGGCTGCGAGCCTGCGTTACCATGGTTACTATCTGCAGCATGGCTTCCCGTGCCCCACACACACACACACACACACACACACACACACACACACACACACACACACACCTACCTTTCTCCAGGCTGAAATTGAATCAGTGCCGCTGGTGTGTCCAGAAATGACAAAGGAAGGCTGCGATGTGATTAGAGTCGCTTTGTGAGAGCAGGTCAGTGGGCGGAGTCAAACTGTGGCTACAGTGATGTTACACAGGTCTCCATGTTTGATTTCCTCCGTATCCATTCATCAATAACGACATAAAATCACTCATCTGTCCTTATGTTTCCCAACAAGCCGTCATCATGGGTCACAGTGAACCCGTCGCCATCTTTGTCCAGCAGGTAAAACTGTGAGAACTTCTTCAGAACTGAAGAAGCTTCTCGGATGAGAGGAGAAACGTCTTCATGAAACTTAAAGAAGTCCAGATTTTCTCTCATGTATTCCTCTGGTGCATTTTTGGTTTTATTAGTATCAGTGTCATCAAGCTTTATTTATCGCAAGCAGGTTGCCCTGCAGCAAAAATGGGGCCCCCCGACAATTAATTTTTTATTCTGGTTATTTGCCACATTTCATCTTTTTTATTTTGCACAACTAACCAGAGAAAACACACAAGAGCATCTTCCTCACTGCTGAAGCTACAAAATAATTCATATTAAAATATCTGAAAGAACAAATCGTTTACCTGGTTTCTCCGTTGGCTTGCTGGGAGTTGTAGTTCCTCTAACCAGAGGCCCTGTAGTCCTCCTGGGCACCGTGGGTCCTGCTGAGGTTCGCACAGGTGGAAGTCTCGTGGGATGAACTGTGGACGTCGTGTGCGGGGCTGCTGTGCTTGTAGACGCCGCCGTGCGGATCAGACTAACTGCTGGTGAGAAGGTTGAAGCTCTGCCCGGCGTCGTGGGTAATCGTGGTGCTGCTGTGGTGGGAGCTGCAGCAGTCGGAGTGGCGGTGGTGGTGGTTTGCCATTTTAAAGTTGTAATTGGTGCTAAAGTTGTTTTTTCCTCTATAGTTCCACTCTGAGAAGATGCCACAGTGGGCGTGGTCCCCCTTTGTGTCGTTACAGCTCTTGCGGTCATGCTTGGCGCCATGGGTTGCTGGGTTGTCTCCGGTGTTTCGGCTGTAGTGTAACTCTGAGGCATGACGGTCGTAGGCTGTGGAGCTGTTGCGAGCGGCTGAGCTGTGGTGACCTTCGCTGTAGATGCAGCTGCTTCATCCACAGCTGTTGGTGAAGCTGATAAACCAAGAGAAAGAAATAGGCTCGATTTTCTGTCTCCACAAGAGTGAAAGCAGGACGCAGCCATCATGGGACTGAAGACAGAACCACGTGTTAAAAAATAAACACGTTTACAGCCAGAGTCAGCAAACAGGTAAGGCTTAAAGGTGTCCTCGACTCCACCTCAGCAAACTGGACCTCTCCACTGTGTCCATGCAATTTAAACTTTTAACAGAACCTATGCATATAACTGTAATCTGTACACAGTCATATAAACAGCAAACAACAACAATAAACAACAAAACTACTTCATTAAACTTCACCAAAAACAAACAAAACAAACCGAGAGACAGAGAGTGGGAGCATCAGTGGTCAGATCAACATTTTAGTACACTACAGGATTAAAAAAGGCTCGATGACCACAGAAGACCAGATGGGGGATGATCACAGGATCTTTTCCATGGTAAAAAACCCCCACACCTATACAGGAAAGAAACACCCTTCAGAAGGTAGCTGTATCCAAGCACAGGGAAGACAGAGGTTTCACACTGAGATGCAAACCAGTGCAGAGTCTCAAGGACGGAGGCAGAGCAACAATGAACATATGAAGCTAAGATCAACCTGCATCACAACCACAACAAGAAAAAAGCGCACAGGAGGCTTGAACAGGTAACAACGTACATCATACGACACTGGCTGTAAAACAGTGTGACGCACAGACGCATCGCTTCCTTTAGCCAATAACTAATGTTTCTCAATCATGTGACACGACACTCGACCACGGAGAGAGCTACACACTCTGCTGAGATTCACAGCTCAATAACATGACAATGAAAAGTAAAAAAGACCCTGGCTGCAGTCGCTCCGTGTGCTCAAAGATCGGTCTTTTGGTCTTCCTGGTATTTCTCACACAAACAATTTCTCCTAAAAATTAAAACCTAGCATCTGACTGACTTCATTATGCTTTTAAAAACCTGAACAATCTCTTTTATTTAGTGTTCATTCATGCATATCCTTTTAAATGTGCTTCCAGTTCTTTCTTTTACACATTTGGTTGTGAACATCAGAGATAAACCAGCTTAATCCTGATTAAACTTTGGAAACCGAGTCTGGCCCGAACTTCCTGACAGATCGAGCTGTGAAGACGAGCCAAACGCTGAACGCCAGCCTCCTGGAGAGACTCACCATGTGCGGTTGAATGGACTCTGCTGGTTAGCATGGAGCTCATCCCAGATGGAGAGATGTGACTCAGATTCGTGGGCAGTTGGTGCCATTCTGAGATTTAAAATAGACAATTTGAAGAGGAGAATTAAGCGGCTCTTCGAGCGTCTGGTTGATGACAGCAGATGCTTGAACGGGCCTGTTAAAGGTCCTGATGTACTCACCGACAGGGAGCCGGAAGGAGATGTTAGCTGGTTCAGAAAGACAAAGTGGGGAAAAAGAAAGTAATGAAAAAGAAGACATAATGATTTCTACACTGATCTGGTGCTGTTCGTTTTAATCTGCCACCTGCTGGTCATCAATGAATCCGTCACAAACCAGTGAACAGACCTGTGTGCGGTCCTTCCACGATGGTCTGGTTGAAGAGCGGCGTGATGGAGCCGACGTCCCACAGCTCAGGCACCTCTCTGCCTGGACAAAACACAACGTCGCATTCAGACAGACACCTTCATCAGCAGCATCATCATCAGCCTCATCTTTGATGCCAGAGATGTTAAACTCATTTTACAGGGAGGACTGCGCACAGCCCACCGATCCAACGTGGGCCAAACAGTGAAACTCCAATCAACAAAGTTTAATTACACATTTAGAAAAAGAAAAAAGGGGCAATTTCTACAGTATGTCTCAGCTTCCTACGTGATAAAGATGAAATAATGTGTCAGTATGATGTAAACTGTGTGTGTCTGTAGGAGAAGCTGCAAAACATATGAAAAGTTAAAAAGATAATAAATATACGCCCTCCTACTTCTTTTACAAAGTGGTCCAGCGGGCCCCGGGCCTTATGTTTCACACCATTGCCTTATACACTATATGAAAGATTTTTCAGGTATACTACAGGAGCATTTATAAGGTTTAGTCATATATTTTATCTCTTTAATCGCTCTCTGAGGTCTGTGGAAGATAACAGAGGCTTCCCCACCAGGAGGCGCTGTTTTACCAACTGCGATTATCAAATGTCTTTGGATCTGCTGCTCTTTGACCTTTTGAGAGCTCTTTTTAGCCCCTCTGCAGGATGCTTTGCTGTGTTAAAGTGTAAACAGAAAAAATGTTTTGTTGATGTTTACGTGATATCTCTTTAAAACCAAACATGGAGGTAAGGTCACATGACTGTTTCTTCACATTCTGCTGAGAGCTTTCATTTTTACATGTTTAAAAACACAAACATTTACAAAAAGTTCCTGTTTCAACCTCATCTTATCTGATTTTTGGCTTTTAAAAATGCTTCACCATGAAATAAATCAAGGGAGAAAATAAAAATGTGATACACACAAAGGAAACACCCTGTCGGCTGAACTACTGGAATATACCCAACACATTTCTTACTGCTTGTTCTCAGAACCATAAAGATTCAGCTTTTAAAAACAGTTTATAGTTGCACACAGCTATAATAAATCTGACTCCTTTCTTGTGAGCATGGACCTGGTATCAGTCTTAGACGTGGGTCAGGAGCAGGAAGAAAAGGTTTCTACTTCCAGACCTCTGTGAGGATAAAATAAGCATGCAGTGTCATTCCCCCAGGCCTCAGAACTTTACTCAGGACAGAGGAGGCCTACACATACCCATCTTACCGGCCATCACGCAGATGTAGATACAGTCTGAGTTATTCCTCTGGCTCACTGAGACACAAGCAGACAACACGCCGTTAGCCAGAGACACAAACACATCATATAGCGTTTCATTTAAATAGCATCTACCACCTGAGAGTATCGAGGAGGATTTAAAGAGCTCGTGCAGGTAGCTTGTAGAGTTTCCCATCACATCCAGCAGTATGGCTGTAAAGTCTGATGGGAAACAAAAACGAGTTTACATGCAGCAAACTGCACGAAGCGTAAAATGAGGCCGAACGTTCGAATCCTCCTGCCTGTTAGGTCGTTGGTCTCGTTTGTGACGCAGTAGCAGAATCGCCTCCTGAACACGCTGCTTTCTATGCTTCCCACACTGGAAACTGCAAAACACACAGAAACTGTTCAGAGAGCACAAAGTCATTCATGGATTTAAAGTTTAAGACGTGTCAGGACGACACGGCCTCCAAACATCTGCTGACCTGCGTATTTCCAGCTTGTTAGTCTCAGCTTCTGCTAGCAGAGCTTTGCATGATTAACAGTTTAAAATAATCCTCATTTATCTTATTCTGAGCATTGATGCAGTTCATGCTCCGCCTTCAGTGCTCTGTTTTAGCTCTTTGCCCAGCTCAGATGAACATATTAGGCATGTCTCCTCTTGATGACATCATACAGATCCCACAGCAGGAAAAAAACTGTATGAAACTGTCCATACACTGACCTCACGACTGAGTGGATGACAACACAGCCACCACTGGAACAGGAGATATATGACAGACAATAATCAAAGTAACAGAATAAGTCCTCCTTAACAAAGTTTGGCAAATAAGATTATTTCTGTAATATGTTAGGACACGTCCTCGGTGCTTTATTTTGCAGTTTTAAATAAAATAATGGGTTCTTCCCTTTCTCAGCCTTCACCAGTGCATCAAACTTCACGACTGACCCTAAAGGTAACAATCTGACACGATTAAAGAGAAAGTCTCGTCTTAAGAGTAGAGATGGTTAACGTGCGGTGGTGTAATTACTACACGTTCACACCACCAGATGGCAGCATAGACAAATGCAGCCTTCGGAGGAAGCAGACGTTTGTAAGGAGAGAACATTTACTGTTGTAGACCAACAGGGTGAGTTTGTGCAGAGCCAGGGAGCTGTAGGACGTGACGCTGAGCAGAGAGAAGAGCTGCCGGGAGCCTGCAACACAAAACAGGCGAACATGTGAGCTCACACAGCCTTAGACGCATTATTACATACAGGAGAGCACTGCGTTCACTAATGACAATCTCATGATTAAGGAGAAAGGTGCAATAATCAGTAAGAGGACGGGGTCGATGTTGCGACCTCGTCAATGAGCCTGAAAATCAAAATCAGAGTTAAAATGTTAAAACTGGGCTGAAGGGAAGCTGCTCTTTGAGCGCACTGCTCCTTTAAATGTTGAGTCCTCTCTGCAGTTCAAAACCAACAGAAGTGTGACTCTGTGGTTCGGACCTGAGAGACAGCGACAGGACAACGTACCCGAGTGGCTGGAATTTATTAAAGTATTGACGAGCGGCGTGAGGTCGATGGCAGCGGGGTCGATGTGCTCTGCTGGGATTTCTGGGAAATAAAAGCAGAGCGTGAAGTCAGCGGGAGCTCGTTCTGGGTGTAATCTCCGTTATGGAGACAGCAGCATCAGCAGAATGAGCCAGTGTAATTACTGGATGTACTGGAAGAGAAAAAAAGTGACAGTTACCCAGAGGAATGGGTCCCCGGGGGGCGGGGCAGTTATTTAAACAACACAAGGTCAGTGTAACAGCTGGTCTAATCGGCATTTCACTGAACATTTCAGTGATACAACCCAGAGCAGGTTCACAGATGTTCGCTGATGACTTCTCTGAAGTGTGTGTTGCTGATGACGGTTTTTACCGTTAGACAAACTGCTCCTCTGGGACGTTAACGACGTCTTTGACATTCGGGGTTTGAGTTCATAAGCTTTGGACTGAAGCCTGATGAATGGCACATTTTATGCAAATTAACTGAGTTTTAGTTACAAAAAGGAGGATTTTTCCACATATTTCTTAACATCGACCAACTGTACCCTCCATCCATCACCGCTGCAGCATCCTCAGCAGAGGCCCAGACCTCCACCAGCAAATCCAGGCAAACACTGAGGCGTTCCCAAGCTAGCTGGAAGATATAATCCTCAGCAATTTGCCAGGAACTCCTCACCCAGGAGGTGTGCAGAAGTCAGATTCCCAAACCAGATCAACTAGCTGAGCTTCACCGTTTGGAGGAAGCTCGTCTCAGCTGCATCCCATCGGTCACTACCCAGAGCTCGCGGTTGTTCGTGGGCGTAGATCGAGCAGTAAATCATTAACTTTGCTTCCACGCTCTCTCTTCACCACAACGGATCGGTCTGTCCATCTCCTGCTGTTCCCCCCCCCCTCACTTGTGAACCCAGAGCTCCACCCTTTCCCAGCTGTGAAGCTTGGTATTCATTGACTTTCTATCCATCCTCTTCCACTTATCCTTATCAAGGTTGTGGGGGGCGCTGGAGCCCATCCCAGCTACCATAGGGCGAGCGGGGGAGTATACCCTGTGTTGTTGCTAACACACAGAGACATACAGACAGAAAGGCCGCGGCCAGGTGGAGGATTTGAACCCAGGACCTTCTAGGTGTGAGGCACCAGTGTTAACCTTATTATATTAATATATTCAAATATCATCTGGTTAAAGAAACAATATGAAAAAGAAATCTGACATGTTCAGTGACTCAGTCTGTGCTGTGATGCAAACCCAGAAAGTTTTTTTATCATTCAGAAACTGAAAACCTCAATAAACAGTTTCCTGAATGTAGCTGGGGGACAGTCGTGATCTTTAAAAAGATATTCATATAAAAAATACACTGAAGCCAGTTGTGTGCGCCTCCACATCAACTGTGTAGGGTTTTTATTTTTGCTAGGTGACAGCGCTGCAGTCGAAGTACTTTGTGGGGCTTTAAAGTTTCTTTGTTCGAGCTGGAAAACAACACGTTGAAACGTATTTGGCAGCCACAGTATGTGAACAAGCAGAATGAGAACCAAGGAGGAAAAATACCCGTGGAGTCAGCAAAGTCTCTCCTGTGCCTGTCCTCCTGCTGTCTGCAGATCAATGCTGGAGGAAACAAAAACAGCAGTTATTACTACTATTAATAATTAAACCAAACAATAGAGCCTTTATAGCCTCGGCCTACCTTGGCTCACGAGCAGGAGTATTAAAACTGCAGAAACACAGATTATGAAAGAGAAGCGTGGATGCTGTGTGAACCTCCAGGAGCCTGCCATGACTGCTGCAAACACAAACAGCATGCAAACGTTCACTCTCAACATAAAAATACAGCTTTTAGTGGGCTACATGGTTAGCACAAGGGCAAAGCCACCAAACCCCGTGAATTTGCATCTCATGTAAGCTGCAACAATCAGCTCATATATGAGAGACACGTTGCTCTGTAGAAATCAGCCTCACACACAACAGAGCAGAGAGCCAGGAGTTACAACATAAAAGCTGAATAGATCAGCATCATCATCATCGTCACATTAGTGCTGGAGACGACGTTAAAAGTAATTATTGTAACACTTTGTAATGCAGCTGAAGGTGTAATTACCCTGTAACTGAATGAATTTCAATGCATTTTATTTGACATTACAGTGTAATCGAATACTTAAAGCTAGGTCTGTGAGAGTAAGGATGTAACAGGGTGTAAGTCAGGCTTTTACAGGAAACAAAGAAATAATTATACTGTAAGTAAATGTAAGAACACTGTACTTCTACTGTAAGTACAATGTACGTACTTCCAATAGAAGTACATGAGTCCACTCCATAATACAACCCCACAGAGTGGAGCATATTTATGATGCAAGCTGTGGAAATAATGTTTGTTTTTCTGCAAACTTACCGTGAAACTGAGCACTACCTCAAATTACTTACAGTATAATTATTTCTTTGTTTCCTGTAAAAGCCTGACTTGTTGTTGACACTCTGATTGTAGTGTACCTACCTTTAAGTATTTGTAAGTAAATATAATTACATCAGAATTTTAAATCAGATGCACTGAAATTCCATTTGATTACAGGGGAATTACACCCTTAGTGGTGGCCCACCAAAACAAATAAACTCAACAGAATGAGGCCATAAACATCTGTGTATAGCTCTGAAAGCTAATAACTGCAGCTGAGTTGGGGACTGGCCGTACTTTAATGTAATACTAATTTAAACCATTAGGTGGTGCAGTGAGTCTAGATAACCTTTAACCAGGTAAATGATGAAACACACATTTCTTCTGTAAAAATGCAAAGTCTGTGCAGGAAACAGAGAAGAGGCTAAAGAGAACTACAGAAAGTTAAAGATCCAGAAACATCTGAACATCTGGTGATGAACGCGTCGGCCAATTAAAACACATCAGCCTCTCTCTGCACACTGCAGGTAAACTCTGTGCCTCCATCAAACACCTTTAAAAGAGTTTGTGTAAAAAAAACACTTCCTGGTCCTTCACAGTGACGTCATGATGACTCTATAATCCCACCAGTGGACCCAGTGCTCCCCACAGAGTATCGGTAAAGATTTTTAGGAGCTTTTACATTAAATTTTCTTGGCATCTAATTTGCGTTTTGTGCGTTCAAAGAAAGTCTTCCTCAGTCTAGTCACTGCATTTCTGTATTTCTTGACTCATCAATTCTGATCAAGATAAAAATCACACACATGCACAGTCACAGGTTTCACAAATCAAAGCAAACTTTTTCTTTTCAAAGTGAACCGTCTTTGTTTCCATAAAAAGAGGAATATATATTGTTTTTACAGCAGCAGCACTCAAAGTTCACAGCATTCAAAATTTTAACTCTAATTCTTCGATAGTTTGACCTGCCATATTATCATCATCATTATTATTATTATTGGCTCCCAGCTAAAATAAAACCAGTGAACACGTCTCACCTGCTGCTTGAATTCACCTGCAGCCCTGCGGAGCCTCCACCAGCCTCCACCCTGCGGTCACACACCGGCGGTCAGATAACGATTAAACAACGCCTGTTTTCTCCCCTCTGAACATCAGCGGGCTGACAGCTCAGCGAGCTCTGGCTGCAGGCCGGGTACTGATCCAAACTCACTCCTGCAGCTGCACTGCAAGAAATATCCAACTGCAGGTGCTGCACTACACTGCCCCCCAAAGGCAGAGACAGGAACTGCAGGAGGCTCTGAAAGCCTGGAGATCGACTTCATGCTGTTTGACGGTGATGAGAACAGAAAACTGCACTTCAGCAAGTCGTTTTGACCATGTCTACGTTCCTAATTGCTGCCACGTGATTGGCTGGTTATATATTTGTGTTAGGGAGAAGTTGGACAGTTGTTTCTGTAAAGTGACAGGTCAGTGTAAATTTAGTCAGTCAGACACTTCAGGTGAGGTCAGGCTGCTGTGTGTGGCCTCTCCTCACACACCTGTTTTCATTTAGCACGAGCTAATTCAAGCTCTTTTCATTTATTGGTCCAAGTTTCATGCATCCAGCAAATAAGCTGCTGGAACTCCAAATGTCTGAATCACACCAACATACAGCCACCTCACTGAAACGATCCTTACTGAACTTCTGTAAAAATCTAAATCATACCTGACGTGTTTCTTCAGTCACACCAGATGAAATGCATCAGGATTGGTACTTAGCCTGAGTCTGTGGAAAGTTTATTTTTAGAAGGACATTTCTTACAGTGTAGGTAAGTGGCCATAATAAGCCGCTGGAGTGACATACGAGCCGTGGGGAAGATCAGTGAATGAGGGGAGTGAATGTGAGTCTTTAATGCCGGGGGATCGGCGGGCACTTTGGCCATCCTGGCGTTCACATTCAGGCACGCAGCGGTAACTGGCAGTCAAGGCTGCTCAGGGCCTGGGAACAGCCGCCCCCGGGGAACAGAAACAGACTTTTAGCGCATAATTCTAACAAGAACGAAATGAAATGAGCTAATGAGTGAAAAACAAGCTGCACACGTGTCCACTGACGTTTGTTCTGGGGTGGAAACGTTATAAAATAAGAATCCTAAAAATGAGTTAAACCATCTTCACAGAGTAACAGCAGCGACAGCCGGAGCCGCTGTGAGCGAAATAATGACGTTCATCTGAAGGTTTTCAGCCAGAGGCCACACATGAGAGTCAAGGCTGAGAACAACAATACTGCAAAGAGACAAAACAACTCCAGAATGAAACAAAAACATCACAGAGACACGTGCAAACCAACACAGTATAAATACACAAAGCAACAACAACAACAACTACAAAAGAACGCACACGTGAAGTAAAAGCCAAAAAAATGCCACAAACTGATGCTAAACAAGAGACGGAAAATAACTGCAAAACAGAAAAATGTCAGATAATAATGGGGACACAAAGACTCACAACACACAACATGATGCACACGAACAACAAAAGCCTGCAAACTGGTCCCAAAACGAAGAGACATGAATGTAAAACAACTACAAAGAAAGAAGTAAAAGTACTGTGATACAACTAAGAGACGGGACACATAACAACCAGAAAAGTACACAAAATCACTACAAAGAGACATCAAACAACTACAAAGGGCTGGGAACATCCACAACTAAGCTCAGACACACACAAGGACAAAAACAGCCAATAAAAAAAAGCACATGTTAACTAAGACGACATGCAAAGCAGATACATTACCTCAAATATTGGACACACAAACACAGCAAATGCACACAAATCTCCTACTCCAAAGACACACAGCGTGTCTGCAGAGGGCTGCAGGACATTTAAGAACAGCTATTTTATAGCAGGGACACCAACAACGAGTCCACGGGTGCAGAAACGATGCAGCCTGAGTGATTTCAGCAGCATGAATCCATCTCTGGTTTAACGCTTGCAGATAATAACCACACCGTCTGCTTTCAGTTCAATGCTTTATTAATAACTGGTGCAATTGAAAAGACAAAAAAAATTAAAAAATCAAGTAAGAATACATTTGCATATTATATCATCAAAACAAAATATCCAAAGTGGTCTAATACAGAATAGAAATGGTAGGTTTATTCTTTTTTTCAAACTGGTATGAGAAAAATGATGCACAGCTCTGAAGGCCACTAGTGTAAAGTTGTCCAAACTTCCCTTAAATGAAACTTAAGAACAACAGAACTGTTTCTGACCCAGAAAAGCTGCCGTCATCAACCAGCACAGAGCTGTCAGTAACCTCCCAGACGTACTGGCTTTTGTTTTTACTGCATTTCGGCTGCATTTAGACGTCGCTCCTCTCAGATTTGCTTCCTGCATCGTTCCTGTGGGAGAAATACAGGAACTGTACGGCCCAAGACTCTAAGCAGAAGTGATTTTATTTATTTATTCATTTGCTATTTATCGAGCACGTGTTTGGCACTTGTTTGGAACTTTTGTTTCGAACCTGTATTCTGCGTAATGGACACCAGGGGGCGACTCCTGTGTTTGCAGAAAGACTTCTGGTCTTATACAAACGCCTGATGAGTTTAGAGCTTTGGTTTCTAGTTTCAGGTCATACAGAATAAAATATTTGGGGTTATTTTATAAATCAAGTTCAGTGAGAAGCTCATTGGCTGAGGACTCAGTCAATCACAAGTCGTCAGCCAATGAGTGTGTGGCTTCGTCCGTCACACCTGGCTTAACTAACCAGCGAGAATCATCATCGTCCATGTTTAAGTGTCACACTGTGAGAGATGGCTCTTACTAACCTTCTTTAAAGCCATGAGATGACTTCTTTTTAAAGCATTTACAAGATATTCATCTTGTTCACAAGTCTGTTAACTTTTTGTGTCCCGTGTTTCAAACTTCATGCTTCATCACAGCCACAAACAAAATGTCCAGTTTGTGTAAAAAACACAAATCTGAGTCTTGATCTTAAAAGCTAAGCAGGTTCGGCCTGGTCAGTATGCTGAACACCAGGTTAGGAGGTCTGCTGCAGTTTTCTTCCTGTTAAAAGGGAGTTTTTCCTCCCCACTGTTGCCTCAAAGGGGGATGTAATTGTTGTGTCTTTACCTTTATCATTGTTGTGATTTGGCAGTATATAAATAAAACTGAATCAGTTAATTTTTTTACAAACTGCTGTGAGACTGCACCATGTCCATATGCAACAAGCATGCAAGGCTTTCTTCTTTGTCAGAGCAACGTGTAAAATTTTATCTCTAATTGTTTTGCTTTACTCAGTGAGCTCGACAGATAGACCGTCTTCTTATCAGCTAAAAATTCCAAGTAGAAATCTTGTAGGTGAAACTTTACAGTGTCCAGCACCCTGCTTTGACACTTATCAGTTCACCTTATAGGTACTCATGTAATTTTGCATTTAACCTCCAAGGACCTGGCGTCCACATATGCGGACATCACATTTTAGGTTGTCTAGACCAAAATACTACATTTTCTCATTTTCATCAAAAACAAAAAACGGGTAATTCATCAGGTCCCAATCAGCCCAAATAGCAAAGAGGATGCATGCCATGAAAGAGTTCGGGTCTTAGGAGGAGATTAAGAAGATTTTGGAAAGACAGTTTGAGAGTCGCATCAAAACCCTGCAAATTGTGAGGTTCCATCAAACAGCAAAAAATTAGCAGGTTAAATATTGCAGTGTGTGGACAGCGTGTCTTCTTCCATTGTTGGTGCCTCTGCCCTGCAGCTGCTCCCCCAACTGGAACTGTAAAAGCAATATCAGCCGCTGTTTGGAGGGGTGGTTTTTGAAGAGAGAAAATTTAGTACCCACCAGCTACTGCGCTGATTTTCTATCAGTCTTGGCTCCATAGATCGAGGCCGCTGAGCAATGAGTGCATGTAAATGCAGCCCTCCACACAGTTATTACCGACAGCTTTGTGCTGCGTTTTGACAGCCATAGCGAGAAAAGCACGACCAAATTAAAAGAATTGCATTGAAAGAAACATCTGTACTGTAAAAGGCCAAGGCACAAATAATTTGTAGCAATCAAAATGTCCATAAAATTACAGGTTATGCAGAATGTGCCGATCAGTGCATTGCTTGGTATGCAGTTACAGTGAATACAACCCTAACAGAATAATCACAGCGAGTACTATTGCCCTCTTAACTACACGGATGCCATAAAGTGCTCCTTTTCATTCAGAATCGATGCACATGCAGACGAGTTCACACACGGAGAGCTGAAAAAATAAATGACGCACAGTGTAAGTGCACACATGTGTTTTAGAGGGCAGAAATGTGGAGAAAATGCTCGTTTTAGGTGCACACGTGTTTCGATTAATGGCTTTGAATGTTGGGGAAAGACTCAGATTCAAGCCAACGAAAAACAGTCACGTGATCGAGCATTTGCTGATGTGCTGAGCATTTTAAAGTTATTTTTCCAGTTTCTCCAAGACTTGGCTGCTACAACAAGTACCAAGATGAGCCAGTTTTTACGTGAAATTAGTCAATATCTTAATCCTGACACACAACACTGATACCAAGAGTGTTTCCACACACAAGACTTTGTCAAAATCTACGTTTGTGGGGGGATTTTAAGCCTCTTTGGCTGTTAAATCTAACTCATAGAGTACTGTTTAAAACAGTGTTAAAGGAGTGCTTCATACAGGACTGTTCCTCAGAATCACCAAATGAATAACAGCTGCAATGCAAAGAGTGCAGACTCATTGGTTACAGTGTTATATGCCAAAAAACACACTCAAACTGAAAGAATCCTTCATCCGCAAAGTAACAGATATTAAATTGCTAAAACAAAGTGGATCTATTCTGCTCATATTTTATACTTGGGCTCTTCTAGAGTAGCTTTGCACAATTCAGAGTTCAAAATAATCCCCCTTTATCTTCTATCAGTGAACTCTTTTAGCTCCTCCCACTTTGAGCAAACTTTGCACTGACGGGCTGCCCCTCCCAAACAAATTATATTAAGAGCAGGTGGGCGGGGCTTACTGTGCCTTAGATGGCCATATTAAGGATATCTGCTCTCCGTGACATCATACAAACCCAAGCAGAGAGAAAAAAAGCAGCATTAATTCACAGGGATTCGCCGTTCATACACTGGCAGAAGGCAGAACGGATCCACTTTAACCATCACATTAATTCACCAGTATGTGTGTTGGTCAGAGTTTGTGTTTTGGAGGTTACGCAGACAAATGCAATGTCAAAATAAAGAATAAGGCTGAAGTCTGTACTGTGCACTGATGCCTGAAAAGGTGATTTTTCAAATGCAAGTCAAAAGAATAGCTCTGAGCTGTCACACAGCATCCCCCCTTATTGTCAAATAATGAGCACACTGTTTAAGCTTTAAGAATTAAATAGCCAATCATGATCACCCGAGGTCAGCAACTTCATTTCATCCCATCACACTGATTCAGAAAAATAAAAAAGACAAATTGACGACAAAGCCATGAGTACATGAGAGAACATCGGGTTAGTAAATGTTTAACTCCTCCAGTGACCTCATCAGCTGATTTAAACCTCGTCTACAAGCCAGAGAAGCAAAGGGCTGATTCACAGGGCAAAGTAATGGGACGAGTCACCAAAACCCATTCAAAGTCACTCTTGTGTCCGCTTACAGTATAAAGTAAACGGAGACAAAGTAAAATAGGCCTGGTGCCAAGTGTGCAAATTGGTTCAACTTCACTGGAGTGACTCCTAGTTTTGGCTCTGCAGGTTTTACTGGAGTTCCTCACACCTCAAATCCCCTTAATAAACATTATTGAACAGTTTTGTATCAGAGGCAGCTGTTTCAACAGAACAGCTGTTAAAGTGAGTGTTCATCAGCCACCAGGTACATCTACAGATGAGGTGACTAACAATTCCCAAAACATAAGAAGAATTTAACTTTTTTTTTTATTTCCAATGAACGGTGACCAATGCATGTTCTAATTCCACTTCTTTTCATGTTTGCCCAGGACAAAGTGGAGTTTAATCACTTCCTGCTTGAGGTGAAGAGGTTTCTCCCGAAGACGTGACTGGAGAACGTTTGGCAGGAAATTCATACAGAGTAATAACATGGCAATAACAGGACAAACCCTTCACTACAAAACAGCAACACAGTATCATGTTCAGACATCGTTTCAAACACGCAAGATGTCTTTAATTCACGTAACGTGGATTTATTTTACTTACTTCATCTTTTTAGTTTCAAATAGCTGTGCAGCACTTCGTTTGAAAGCGCTTTATAAGTTATTATTATTATTACTGTGAAAAGTAATGCTAGCAAGTTGGTTAGGGATACTGAAGATGGCTTTGGTCAGCTCACACTGGTCCTTAACAAGTCATTCAGTCACATATTTTATTTAAATAAAAATGGTTCTGATTTGGTTCTCCGGAAATTTAGCTAACCTTGTTTCAGAAGTCGTTAAAATCATCTCACGTATGGGAGATTTATTGGTTTTAAGGAAACAAAATAAATGTAACTGTAGACAAAACGACTTGTTAAACTGCAACGTCTGTGATATTGTCACCATGCTTGATATAAACAGCGGCTTTAGCAAGTTGAATACAGTGGAACCCCGACTTACGAAATTAATTCGTTCCCGAGGGTCTTTCGAAAGTCGAAACTTTTCGTAAGTCGAAGCACCCATCGCGCCTTTTGAGTGAACGATAGGCGTCGTTCAAGTGGAACAGCGAAGCGCAACTCCGAAAGCCAAGGGGGTTGTCACATGATTCGGAAGGCATTGTGGGCATTGCAGGCATTCTGGGCTCAGCCAATCAGAGCCAGCGGACTTCGTTACACGGGCATTTTGCCGTAACACGGGTAGAAATATTGCCGTTGAGTGCCTTCGTAACTTGAATTTTTCGTTAAATGGGGTATTCGTAAGTCGGGGTTCCACTGTATTTGAAATTTTGTGAATTCCTGAGAAGAACTTCAGGTTTTTCGTGTGTAATCTGACATATTTCCATTTTACTGTTAACTGCTTTTGCTGGCATCACTTTTTCACAGCATACCTTCAGCGTCCTGGAAGACAATTTTTTTTTTTCTGTTTTGACAAATTTTTACAAAAAAAACCAAAAGTTCACATTAACAGTAATTTGCCATGAAACTATAAATGTACCAATGCTGTCGTTATGTATTCCCTGTGAGACATTCTTAAACTGATTCGTGACTGTAAATTTAGAAAGGAAGCCATTTGTAGTTTTTAGTTTCAAACGGAAGCAGTGTCACTAACTCACAGAATACTTTCTGTAAATTGAACTTAATGTGCAAGGCAACAAAAGCACAGGCTTGGAGCGAGACCGATCAAACCTCAACAGAACAAGACGAATGAACTTTAGATATAACGAAGAAAGCAGAAGTGAACCATTACAAAATTTCTGTGCAGCTGAAACCATGCTGAATCTGTAAATGAGCCAAAAAGCACCACAAAAACTACAAAACGGCATTTTACAAAAGCAGGACCGCACTCTGAGCTGGTTTTAAGAAAAGACGAAGCACTACAGAAGGAAACAGAGCCGACATTCAAAAATCCCGTGTGTTGTGTTCGGTGGAGATGAAGTGACGCTGAAACACTAAATAAAGAATGACAGCGTGGAGTCATTCTGAATGTTGCTTCTTGCTTCAGAGGCACAATGAATGAACGTCTGCAGGGATATTGTCATCATTTTTACATCTATATGTGGTGACGTCTGATGCCGGTGTTCATATATAGTTTAATGACTTTAATTTAAGGATTAGAGGATAACAGCAACTCTAACAATACACTAAATAGATAATAATAATCATAAGGGTTTGGTTCACCTGGCTAATTTCACAGATGGTAGCTGGATCCACACCAGGCTTCTTTTAACCTACCTGCGGAGACGTTTTACTAAAACCAAACCAGCAGTTGGTCCTCTGGCTGAGTTCGGCTCCAAATAGATGGATTTAATTTATACTTTAGAAGATTTTTCTAAGATTTAAAATTTTCGTGACCACCACTAACTGGAGTCACTGAACTGGATCTGAGGACTCTCTTTGTGCTGTTGGAGTCTTCAGAGGGATTTTTATGGGAATCATCCAAAAAAATATTACAGTTTACTATGAAGTGAAGACATCCAAGAGGTTTGTGCTTCAGTTTTGGTGAGTGAAACTGAGGTTTTATTATTCTAGTTACTAGCAACCATTAGCAGAAATCCATGCCTGTGCAATGCACCTTTACAGTCTAAGAGTCAGATTTACTAACACCAGCACCAACTGGGTTTTGGTGCCGCTACTCTCAGTGTACACAAAGAAACCAGTGAATGCCAACTTGTCTGCAAACACTCACCAAACTCTTGGTCGTCCAACCTTTTGGTGTAGCAGTAGGTACATCTGTGTGACCGATTTCACCAAGCAACAGCAAGTAGTGGTTGCCAGACGGTTGACAACAGGTCTCTAGACCTGTGTGAGTGAGGTCTAACCAAGTTTGTTGGCCTTAGCTGATAACATCCACCTCAAATATGGTCACTTCTGCCTCCAAAAAACCAACATGGCGGAGGCCAAAAAGCTAAGCTTCAAAACCAATGGGTGACGTTTCATCTCATTAAACTGAGATACTAGAACAAACAAACTGTAATTGCTCCAACTTTGCCCTCTCCTTCTTCGCTGTAGAGATTCACACAAACCAGTAAACAGTGAGAGGAGCCTACAGCCTCCAAACATCATCTTAAATGTGTTTTATCTATCTGTGTTTTTCCAGTTCAACACAGAAATGATCTGGCTGGTCATCACGGATACTAAACCAAAACTTTATCCGTTTAACGAAGTTAAAAGTTAATGTTAAAAATAATTAATGCAAGATAAGTTCATTAGTCATGATTTTTAGGTCAGAAACAGTAAAAGTAAACAAAGCAACGAATTGTAGAGTTGAAGCCTGGTGTGGAAGTCTCCTCTGTCAATTAACTGTGAAGGTGCCTGAACATGCTATAACTGTGTATTGATAATAATTCATGTGTGTACATATTGTGAGATATTACATTCAATATCAGTGTCGTCCTAAGTCTAAGGTAATAAATGCAGTTTAGGCCTATACGTGGTCGTCTGTAAAGCTTTTTATTTGCAGTAGGTGGTCAGGTCTGGCTTTGTGGTGTTTTCATTTAAAAAATACCTGTTGATCAGGAAGCTCCGCCTTCACGTACCTTTATTTCTCTTTTCAGTTTGAGGTTTTCTGTGTTTGTAACTAGACATTCGAGTTGCTCACAACACAGCACTGAACTATACAGCAGGTTTAAAGTTGCAATAATTCAAACTAAAATTTAAATGATTAATTGGAGTGTAGAAAAGCTAAATTCAGTTTGCTAATTTTAGGCAGTGTCCTTATTGTTCTCTGAGCTACAGCATACAGAGTTACTTTCAGTTTTTAGCTACCATACCGGATTTATTGGAGCTTTGCAGTAGAAATCGCACCTAAAATTCAGTGGAAATTATTGTTTGCTTTCCTTAATTCGTATTTAAGAAACAAAACACAGCTACAGAATTTTCCTGGCTGTTCTGATTCCCAGAACACTAAATAACGTCAAAACCGTGTACGTGTCTTTCACTAGTGAAGTTTGATGGAACGCTGATATGTCCAACTCACCGTTTTTCACAGGAGATGATTTGTAGTGTAAAGAAGCACATCTGAACCCATATTAGAGATTTTTGTAGCTGGAGTCCAGCTGTTATTTGAGCCTAAACTTAATCAGGAGCCTAATAGGGGTTACCTTAGTGAACTGCAATCGCTGGTTAATAAACCTGTAATCTGGCACCTCTTCTGTTGGGTTCTATAGGTCTTTAAACTGGGTTGGTTTATTTCTTGGTGACCAGTTCTGCTAAAATGAAAGACACAGATGCGGCATCTGACAAAACGGCGTTATCCAACACCTGGGAACATGACTGCCTCGAATTTGTTGTGGTTTATTTCGATGCAACATGGCTAATATTTCATTATTGCTTGTTTTTTTTCCTTTTCTTTTTTTAAAGCAACTTTAAAATAAGAGTGAACATTTTAAAAAGGAATCTGAAGACTGTCCCAGTAACCACACGTCATCACGAGTATCCTAATGCACATTTATTTGGTGAATTTCCAGTATTGTTGGATCTTAGATACACAAGTACACCATCGCTCCTGCAAATACTATATATGGCTCAGCTGATTTACGGGAAAGTACACCAACCAACCACCCAGTCTTACTATTATGATCTGAGGGGCTAATAGAAGTAAGACAATCCAAAAACAAAAAGAAAGGTTTTTTAGTGAGTAAAATCTAGAAAACCATGAAGTGTATTTAGCATGCTATAGCTTCTGTTTGTGGCATCGGTCAAAACAGCAGCGAGCCTGTCCTTCACTGTTCTGTTGCACTATTGTATGAACTGTATATCATCTACTGCAGCTACAAGCCCATCGTATTACTGTGAGAGCAGAATGATATCAAAGCTAAAATGCCAGACGCATGCAGCGTGGCTATAGTTAACTTCCCTTGCCGTTAATCACTCTTTTCAAGTACTGTAGAAGGTTAATGTTAGCTATACGAGCTTATTTTCAAGTGCTACTCAATTTTGTCTTGAATTCAATCAACTGATGTAATTTATAAGCCATTATATCACATTTACTAGTTACTTAGTGAACTTGCACTAACACTCAGCACCTATGTCTCAAACCCTTTTTTTACCAAACAAAATGGTGTTATATAAATAAAACTGAGACCAGATCTCACCTTTGATTATTCCTGCGTTAGATGCTCGGTAGAAATGTGTTTGTTTTTTTGGGGGGTTTTTTATGATTCCCCGTAAAATGCGATGCTCTGAATCCCCTTTATTCTTCACTGATTTAGTTAACAGTAGTTTTCACTCAAACAGTAGTGCTTAGTATTTGAACATAAAAGGGATCATTCTCCCCATGCAGCGTCTTCTGTAATGTCCTGGCATTGTGAGAGCTGAAAGTGAAAGTCAGCAGGCCCACACCCATAACAATGAAAAAATTGAATTTGAAACGTGTGACACTTCTCGCAATAAATGGTAGCCAAACTGGCTTTGTAAAAAAAGAGATGGACCACCCAACAACGCTCTTCTGAAACTCAGACTCACAGTCTGAGCAGGAGATAGCTGGACTAGCTAGCTTGCTAAGTGGTGTTTACTGCCAAATTGTCATCGTAACTGTGCAAGAATTTATCCTTATGAGTGTTCATACAATGCAGTGATCATAGTCATATTCAAAGATCATTTCTGCCGATGGTCTGACTGGGAATGATCGATTTGAGACGGTACCTTATCAAAACGCTATACACCACCACACAAAGAAGAATATGACAGTAATGTTAGCAAGAAAGCTAAAGGATAGCTGGTTAACTATAACTTAGCTACACTGCATGAATCTGGCATCAGCTACAAAGCAATTTAAAATGAGTAGCCAACCTAGCACCAGGTTTACCTCCTGAACGAGCTTACCTTATACACTCCAGATAATATTTAGCTAGCAATTTGTCTGTGTTAGCAACCTAGTGTTAGCCAACATTAGGCTAATCCCCAGAAACAAACAAAGGGCCCACCATTGATCAATTTTTTGATAACAATGAAAAAGTTATTAATAACGACACATTAGAAAATCAAAAGTCAATTATGTAAATGCACAAGTGAGCCTATTCATCTTCATTTTGAGTAGTTCTTCTCAATAAGTTTTAAACTACAGGCGATCCAAGTTCTTAAAAACTGAATTTATGCAGTATTACTCCAAAAAGGCTGTTTTTTTCCTGGAAAAGCTGAGCACAGAAAGTTATTAGAAATACTTACAAACTTAACTTTGGAGAAATGTGCATCAAGAACAGATTGTGTTACTTCAAGACCACAAGTGTGAGTACTGGGACAGACATATTGTGCCTCCCTTTATGTAGGAATCTTTTTTATCTTTTTAGTGCTGGAAATTTAAGCCACTATTTTTGCATTGAAGTTACGCTCTGAATACTAATCAAGCAGAAGCAGAACTTCACAGGTGGTTTATATCCCTGAATTCATGTGCCAACAAAGCAGCAGATTTAGTGTTTCAAACGCAGTCAAATTTTCAAGTGGATAGTCAGTTCACACAAAGTGGTGACACACAATTTGAGCACAGTGGCGTGAAAACAAAACACTGAGACCAGAAAACAAATCTGGTTTCTGGACAGAATTGATCCTCAGAGACCTTACAGAGCAACGTGAGAAAAGTAGAAACGGTGAAACATGACTGCCAGCAAACTAGCCATGGTTTTATTACCAAAGTCTCTCTCTCTTCTCTAACACACACACACACACACACACACACACACACACACACACACACACACACACACACACACACACTCACCAAACAACTAAAGACAGGAGACTTTTGGTTCCAGGATCACCTTCTAATCGTCAACTCCTACAGTGGTGCATTATCATGCAAACCATGCAAAAACAATGAAAATGTATTCATATAAAAAAATAAGTGTTACAAAATGGCATAGCAAGTATACGTAACCATTCGTTCTCTTTTTCCTTTTCCTGATATCCTGAACTTTGCAGTGACTACACTAAAAATCGCATGCGTTACATGCAGTGCGGTTGGCTTTGCAGCAATAAAGCTTTTGGGTGTATATAGTATGTATATTATTGTTCTTTTTTTATGTCAGCTAAACTTTTGCGGAGAGTGCGCTGTACAGAGTTACTTTACAAACGGTGTGGTTTCCCTTTTTCTTTTTTTTTTCTAGGCAGTCTCAGTGCCATGGCTCTCTGACTGGACCGTGGACGGCATGATGAGATCTGCGGTGGCCTCTGAAGGTCGATTATCTCGGATAAGATCCAACTTAACCTCCCCAGACGTTCAGTCCACAGCGGTGGCTTTGACCCAGGGCTTGGGTTTAGAGGCTTGGGTTGAATTTAATATCTTAACTCAGAGTGGTGGATATCTGCGCCGAATTTGTTTCCTCTCAGGGTGGCATGGTCCACACAGCGTCGCCGAATCCCTCACCAGTGGAGGAGAGAGGCAGGGGCCCCCCGCTTGGTGTGAAAGGGTCTGTGTCTGTGTCCGTCTCCCCCTCCGCCAGGTAGCTCGGCCTGGGTCTCGTCCAGCCAGGGTCCCCGGGCGCCAAACCGGCCCCCATTGAGAAGTTCTCCCCTTCCCGCTCCCCAGAGATGCTGAATCCACTGGGCGAGCGCTCCAGCTCCTCATGGTTAACCGATAGCATGGAGAGCGGTGAGTCACCACCTTGCCCCCCTGTGGTCCTACCCAGTCCCACTGACAAGTCCTGCAGGGAGCTGATGGGCAACACTGTGGGACGCTCGGTGTAAGTGGGGATGATTGCTGAAGGTGGGGGTTGGGGTTGATGAACCGAAGGGGCAATGCCGACTCCTCCTGCCAACCCCACCCCTTCTCTGCCTCCTCTTCCACGGCCATAATAGGGGTTCGCCTTGCTGACAGGCACCTGGTACATGTGTGGGAACGCCTCGGCGTAGTTGAGGAAAACCCGTCTGATCTCACCGTTTGCCGTAGGATTGCAGGTCTCCAGGGTCATGCGGGCAGAGCCGGCAGAGTCCACCTGCAGGTGCTCAGTGTGCTGGATGTGCATGTCCACCAGGAAGTCCAACTTCTTTTCCATGTCCTCCACCTGAAAGAGAGATACACAATGGAACCAGTGGATCGCATAACAGGTGTGTTTATTTACCAATCACCTTGGCCAAAATATGATGTAAAGAAATGTTAGTAACCCCTTCAGCGCTTTCAGTAAGGTTTGATAAAACCTTTGCAGACATTGCAGATATGAGAAATATCAAATATCATGTTGATTCTCTTACTGATAACTTGGTGTTTTCACAGTTTAATCTTGGTAATCTTCCTAAAGAAAACCATTAATTATGAACCCTGCACCACCACTAATAATGACGACAATGCTCCAGATGCAGGAGAGAAACACTTGGAAGTCTCTTTTTTAAAGCCTGGTCCAGTTTATCTTGTAAAGTGTTAAACAGCGGATGATAGTTCGGTGGTGGTGAAGGTTATAGACTCTTTTTGTCTTGCTGTAGAAGTCACTGCATGCTGCAGAACTGAAATCGAGTAAGAACTGCAAGTGTAATCGCATAACATGATTAGTAATATTTGCTACAGTTGGGCCAAATGGGTTGAATAGATCTGCTGTTCAAAGTCATCTCCAGCTGAAGCATCTTGTTGCCATATTCAGAGGGTTCTCTGACCCTGGCAGTGCAGCGCTTTGTTTTATTGTAAACAGTAATTTAAGTGTCCTGTTCCAAAAGGTCTGCCAGTGTTCCTGGTCTCATCAACGTGACAGTTTTTCTCCAAAGCAAATTTTACCGGCATTACATTGAACCCTAAATTGTCGCCAGATGTCTCAACATACAAAGCCCAAGGGTAACAAACTAAACTATAAAACAATTTATCTCAAACAATACAAAGAGTTACTTTGTTTGGAGAAGGAACACCTTAGCAGAATATTTGCCTTTAGTAGTTTTAGTTGTTACCTGTCTCTCCACCCTGACAAATCTGCCCATCATGCTTTGGTCTTCCGCATCTGGCATGGATGTGGCTTTGGCTATGTAGGACTCATGCCTGGAACAAAGGGACATCGAGTAGATGTGGACTGCACAGACATTTGTTACGAAAACTAAATAACATAGTTATAACTAACCTTTATACTAATTTGTAATTGTTTTACAACATTGTAGCCATTTTAGAGCTCTGCAGCAGTACCTGGGTGACTGGTTGGGCGGGTAAGTAAAGGGTGTTTTCTGAGTTTTCTTGTGTTTTGGGGTGAGAGGAGGTCCAGGGGCAAGAATCATGTCAATCCTTAAAATAAAAAAAAAAATGAGCATGAGGAAAAGAGAAAATTGGCTTCGTTCACACTGATCAGCCTTGTGTGTAAAAGACTAACTCACCTCGTCTGGAGGTATTTAATTCTACAGAGCATGTCCAGGTGTCCAGCAGAGTACTGCTCGATAACATCTTTGACATCATAAGGCCTCAGAGTTTCCTTAAACCGCTTCTTGTTCAAGAGGAATTGCATGATCCTGTGTGGCAACAAACACTTCAAATGAAAACGCATCTCAAACATCAGACACAGTTAACAAACGTCAGCTACCACACTTACCTTCATTGTATAGACACGTGTTTGTCAGGAAACAAGAATGCAAGAATCAAACAAATGAGAAGCATTTCACTGGTTTAGATCTTAACATTATTAACGTATCTGATCTAAACAACACTACATTTACTGGCCCTAATGTTTGTCTGCGGTCTTTTACCCCTTTTCCACTGACACAGTGGAGCCACCAGTGGCCGTGGGAAGAGCGACCACCAGAAATTCCTCAATTATTGGTAGATTCACCCCATATTTCTTTGCCCACACTTACTAAGCACAAGTACTGGCACCATGTTACTATTAAATAGATTTAAGGCGGAAAACTAAAAATTGATACATGATCCCGTGTTTCTATCGGTTTATCTACTGGGAGACACTAATTATGGGAACTGAACCAGTGCAGAGGCTGTGGAGTACAACAACAAGCCAAAGCCTCATCGCTTCTGCTCAAAGTCAAATAGTAAGCTGAAAGCTTGAATAGAAACACACCACAGTCGATTTGTTATCCAAGGAAAAAGTACAAAAACAGTGCAACAGTCTCGTAGTCTGAAAGCACTCCAAGGTTAAATTGTTACTTTTAACAGCTTCACTCAAACACAAATAACTTCTTCATCCATTTTTGTCTTTTCTGTAACAGGTGCAAAATGAACAATAATAGCAAAAACAATCACGAGCAGCCTACGTATCTGCTTACTCATCATGATTGTTATACTATTTCCAAGTGGCATCTGCAAAACTCTGAAGCATCACTGCAGTGTCAAACTGGAGCTGTGAGGAAGGCAGGTATTACCATATGATTCCTCCAGTCTAGTCCAGGGTCTCCTCCCAGCTGGATATTTCCAGAAAGCCTTTAAAGTGGATCCTTCAAATGCCAAAAAACAACACTACAACCTCCTACTGGATCCAAATGAGTCCTCATGTATTAAAGAGCCATTTCTTTTGGTCTTTACCTTAAGGTTCTTCTTCCTTGTCACAATAATAGTTCGGAGCAGTACGCTTGACAAGTTGGTGAATAAACAAAACAATACACCATTTCTTTCTTCCAGCAACTAAATGTAAGTGACACCTCTTTACCTCGAAGAGCTTTATGACATCAGATTTGGAGCTGCTAACACTTAACAGCTTCATAACAGGACTCCACAAACTGATGGTTACAGAGGTAACATCTGTCAGTTATGTGTAATTAATGCCCCCTTCACAGAAACCGTGCGTGACATTTTCTGTCCGGTGCATTATAGTAAGCCCAGCATCTTTCAGTCCTGCATCACTGCCACCCACTGAGCTCCGGTTTTTGTCCTACAGATCTCCTACTTTCAGAGTCAGCTACTGCTGCTGCACGAGCTCCAGTGTTTGGCAGAAAGTCTTGGGTCCTGAAACTAAAACCCTCCAGATCTGAACATCCTATTCAGAAACCCATTCAACACTGATATAATGGAGTGGAAGGAAGCAGCACTTTCACAGGGTTAATCACTCATCTCGCAGGCCCTTGCACTAGATTGAATTCCTGCATTATGTCAGCTGTGTGGCCTATAGATTTACCAATGCACTGTCAGCATGTGTGAGTTCTGCCACACTCTGTGGTTTGCATAGCTCACTGTGTTGAATTTTGATTGCTGCAGAGTTTTCTGAAAGCACATACAGCGAGGACCAATCGTACTATCATACTGTGCAGAAAACTGACCAAAAGTTGTGATTGATATTTTAAGGAGTAAATAAACATTTTGAATTTGTTACTACAAAGTTCTGTTTTCTGTCCTGTCAGTTTGTTCAGCAGGTGAAGAAGAACTGACCACTCTGTACGTTTGGATTCTAGCTAATCCATGTGACTGCATTTAAGCGTTTTACAGCCAGCAGGTCACTGATGACCTGTCCAGGGTTTTATGAGACTTCATAACATTTTCCTTTCTCCAATCCAACAGTGATGTCATAATGTCCTGACACAGTCTACATCACTGACTGAAGACAAAGCAACCGAGCAACCAGAAAACATTTCCTTGTTCATAACACCCATCTGCGCATCACAGTATAGGACATTTGTCTCTTCTTATCAGTATCAATTTATACTCTTTAATTGATTGGGTCTCAATGTAGTAATACACGATGACTTTAAAGGACCACAGAGCCCAGTTCTTGACCCTAACCTGACTGCCCTGATGACCAGTTTCAGCGTGGGGATCATCTCCTCCAGGAGGATGTCAGGGGGGAAACCCCGTTCCTCTAAGGCTGGATCTGCCACACCTCCGGCATCTGAGAGAAAAACATTACAAATTTTGCGTTAGTAAAAAAAAGGATTAGACCAACATGAAAGACAAAAGCTCTCTGAGCTATCCGTGCTTTTTTGGTTTCAAACCTTCAGAGCTCTGGCGGAGTGTGTTGGCCTTCATTCGGAAGGCAGTGCGGAAGCGTTCCCGGTTAGTGAAGCCACCAGGTTTGGGCTCCTTGGAGGGACTCTCCTCGATGGAGTCTGCGTTTCCTGTCAGCTTCTTTACTGCCACCACAGACGGTCTTGAATTAGGAAGGCGAACACGCTCGAGTAAACTCAGTTTCTGGCTGAACAGGGACAAACGAGAAAACAATACAGTATGGACCAAGAGAAAGCATGTGAGCACCAGCAAGTAAAGTCTTACACATCACCCAGCTGGGGGTGATCAGACACCGAAGAACGTTCAAGAAGCAAAGCAGCCAAAAGTTTAGGCACTGAGAATATCGCTATAAGGGATGTTTCACAACCTGAAAGATCCACTGTAGTGAGGAGCAATGATGATATTTATCTTTATGAAAGGTAATGTCAAGATGGTAGAAAATTATAGAGACATTGGAAGAAACCCAATGATCCCCTTTTAGCACAAATGTTGCAATGCAAAGCCTTTTTGATCCCTTTGTCTGCTTTATGGAGATCAAAAGAAATCTCGATATTCAGATTAAAGCCACATTCTTTTAAACTTTAAATACTGATATAATTTTTCTGATCATCACTCAATTCCTGTTCTCTTCATTTTCTCCCACACCCCAAACTGTACTCGGGAGATGGCTGCTCCTCCCTGAACCGGACTAAGTCTGGAGGTTTGAAGATATAAAAGGGAGTTTTTCCTTCCCACTGTCGCCAAGTGCATGCTAATGAAATTTTTTGCACAATCAGTTTTGTTGTGATTTTTGTGTAATATAAGTTCTCCTGGTCTGCTGCTGCAACGTAACAATGCAGCTCTCCTGGCAGAAGGAAGACTCAAAGAACTGAGAGGAGATTGGTCTCCTTTACTGTCCAATGGCTGACAATATTTGGCAGCACAAAGACGAGAGCTCCCTGGGTAAAATAAGACTCCTGTGCCTTGGAAGAGGGAGAGAGGCGGGGTAACCGGAGCCGACAACAGCCCAAACAAGGCCTCTGAAACGTGGAGCGTTCTCAGCGACTTTGCTCCCACAGCAGACACACAATATGAGCCTCTATGTGGCCTCGAGGCAGAATAGGGATGGCAGATTACGGCGCTGAGAGGCCGCAGAATAGGAAGCTGTAAAGGAAGAGAGAAGCTCTTTCTGACTGCTCCTCGGCCGAATAAAGAGCAGAAAATGGGATGTGATTATCCCGTGGATCTCTGTAAATGAGGCAGCGCAGCAGGCGAAAAAAATGATGCTCCTTATCTCCCACAGCTCTGCCTTCCCAAGACACACATGTTGGTTCATAATACCTGCACAAAGCTGCGGGACAATATTAAAAGATAATTTCAGTTATTGCAAATATGGATCTTATTTCCTGGTTGTTAGGATAACAAAGGGAATACACCAGGTTACATGGGTGGGACTCATTTTACTTGGAGGTAAAAGTGAAACTACTGATTTTACAGCTCAAAGAAAAGCAGAGTGTGTCCGACACATGTTCGTTTTTCCAAATGTGTTTGGTCGAACTGGAGGTTTTTCTGTTACCATTCTCTTGATCAGGTTTTTAGTCTCTGATACTTGTTTTTTGTTAATGCACTGTGTCAATTAAATGTTATGTCTCTGAACACAAAACTCTTACCTTGTTGTTTACATTTGTTTCAGCTGCGTCTCGTCAGCCTCTCATATCCATTTCCTGTGTGAGCATTAAAGCTCTGCCTTTCCCTTTCGTTGTTGTTGTCGTTCCCGTTTATTCCCTGTCTGTTTCTGAGTTTGATGGATTTATTGACCCTTTTCTTTTCGTGGACTTTGAGATTATTCAGGCTGATGGTAGAACTCAAAGATTTGCTTTGTGTTTATTTCTGCTGCCTCTGGAATCAGTAAAGCTAAAGTTAAAGTATAGCAGCTACCTGGGCACCCACCAATCATCCAGTTCATGGTTGCAGGCACAGCGCAGCTAATCTCAGCTGTCACAGGGCAAGAAAAAGAGTGCAACGTGGGACAGTCGCAAATACTTAAAGTACATGTGCATACTAGAGTTTTATATTTGTTATGTAAACATTTTAATAGTGAATATCTGACACTGACTAGTCCTTTGACTTAAACTAAAATTGTTAAAAAGGTACTTTGTCGACATAGATGTCACATAAAAGACGTAGTTTACACCTGAACTGTGGTGGAGGAGAATCATGCATCTACTAAAACTGATACACACACACACACACACACACACACACACACACACACACACACACACACACACAGATGGGATATAACTTTGTGTCAGTGTTGTATTAAAAAGGCCACACAGTAACACTGGAAACTCAGATAAAAAGGTCTAATATCTCTGCACACACACACACACACACACACACACAATAAGTAGCTTATCGGCCTCTTGTCTGACATCGTCGCACTGTTGTAGTTTCTGGCCGCCGTCCACCTCTTCGCTCAGCGCAACAAGATAATGTCAGAGTGCTAATTTCCCAGCCGCTGATCCTAAAAGGCTTTTAAAACTCTGACTGCCTGCTTTTCACTCCGTTTGACTTCATCACTCAGCGTCTGCACCCTCATTTCTTTCCACTCTTGTTCTCCCTCCACATCTCCGTCTCATCTGAATTATGTCCCCGCTTAATACTACAAATAAAAGCAAAATCAAAATGATTGTAATCGTTGCAATGCAACCCTCCGGTTCAGCCTATAAAACAGACGCCATTAAGAACAGGTGACCCGACCTCTCCTCTGCTCTGCTCTACCAGCCCGTGTATCAGAGCCGTTTCAGCTTTTAGCAGCAGTAACTTAATCCAGCGTGTTGAACACGGAGGCCGGGAGGCGTCGGAGCAGAACGCTGCGCTGTAATGAGCCTGTAACGCCACCTCTGCTGACCTGAGCTGATGCGAAATGGCAGGTTTAGCAAGACTACAGCACATTTCATATAATGGCTCTGACATGTGTTTGTCAGCACTGAATGACGACATCAAAGAGCAAAGTTTTTCCTAAGTTTAAGAAATCAAACTTTTAGCTGATTATGTACTCTACATTTGTGTGTGCATGTGTGTGTGTGTGTGTGTGTATTCAACTAAAACTGGCTCTCATTTCCACTTCTGAACATTTTAACCCTTTAAGACCTACCATAGAACCAAGTCCGCCAGAGCTTATAGTATATTTTTACATGCTGTGGAGCCATTTTTGGAGCATTTCAAGTTGGTATACATCAATACAACCATTATAGCCCAAATTTTAATGATATGTCTGCATTAAGTGCATAGTAATTACATAAATTGCAAAAAAGTGCAATAAACTACAAAAAAATTTTAAATCGTTTTTGATTTTTTAACAAATATTTCTAGTTAGAGAAATTTAAGAGGCTTATCCCTCAAAACTGTAAATACACAAACTAGTTTCCCTCCAAAGGAAATTTATTTTAAGTGTCTTCATAGTTTTATTTTTGAGATACACCAATTTTCATACACTGCAGGAAAAACGAAAAAATATATTATAGTGCAAATTTGCAAAATAACAGGATATGCATCAAAATAAACTATTTCCAGCAGTGCAATATGAGTCCTCAGCATCCCAGAAACGACACAGAAAGTCATAAAGTCAAACATAACTTTTAAAAACACAAGTATAGGCTCATAAGGCCATGATGGTAAAAAAAACTACATTTCCGCAAAACGACGTCACTTCCGCTTTCGGGCAGGTCATGCCGGACATGCGATAGTTCACGCTGATGGACGTAGGAAGTATTACAAGCAGCTGATCGGATCGGCAAAGCGTGTTTCTGGAATATTATGTTTTTGTTGCTGCAAGTGCTTTTTATGCAGTTTTTGCAAAACTATATGTGGAAGGAAACTGTGACCGAGGACAAGCTGATGGCATAAGATGTAAGTACAACTCCTCCGGTTTCATATGCAAAAAAAATTATTGCGCTAGCTTACGTGGTTGCAGTGCTACCGGGATTTAAAAATAGTTACGCAAAATGCAGCGTGCCCGCTCCGACCGGCTTTAAAGGGTTAATGCCAATGTATAAGTCCTAGCTTACATGTTGACTATATTAAGCACAATTACAAAAGTATAAACACGTGTTAGGCATCAATCACAGTGAAGTTGGTTCCCCCCCTTTGGAGCCACCAGTCACTGGGGAAAGGTGCATCCCCTGGTCAGCCTCTCACTGACCGGTGTATCCCCTGACCCCAGTGAGAGGCTTCTGGAGGTTGCTGCTTGTCATTAGTTGAAGTTGGTTGCACACAGGGTGCTGCTTGGAAAAAGCCCCTGTGATTGCTTCGGTTGCTAGCGCTCAGCCATAGTTTGCATGAAAGATGCAGACTTGTCTGCAAACACTTGCCAACAGCTTGCTGATTGGTTAAACTCAGACAGACAATGTTTGCCGTCAAAGTAAAAGTTGTGAGTACTGCTACAACTACTTTGAAAAGTCACATTGCTGCATCTGCTAGTATTCTGCATGGAAGTGCACCAAAAACCAGAACTGCATGCAAAATACAAGCAGATGCAGCAATGCTCCAGCAACCAAAACAATCTCAAGGAAGTTTGTGGTGCAGCACCCTTTGCAGCCAATTTCACCATCTTCCGGAAACCCCTCACCAGCTGCCCAGTGACCAGAGGTTGATGGTGGTCGCAGAGTGGTCTCTATGCCTGTGTGACTGAGGCCTTGGGTAGGATAGAGTGCAAAGCAGGCAAGACCTTTTCACCTGTGCACTGGGTGATTTGTTTTTATACTGTGTCCATATGCAAACAACCAAGACCAAGGTTAGACAAGTGGCTGCTATGACTAACAGGTGAGCAGACAGGTGTCACTGACTTCACATGTGCTAATGCCACTCAGTCAGTCTGTGCTGCTTCTGTGTCTTTTGCAGGACTTTGATTAAATTACCTCATTATATCATTATATGTCGATAACCGCGGTGACACATCTGCAGCAGCTCAAGTTCAATCTGCTCCTCAAACCGAAAGCCTCAGTCGGAGTTTCACAACACTTTTTGATGTGGAGACTCATTAACGTCGCTCAGCAGGACGGAGAAAAATGAAAAGTCAAACCCATAGACCTCTTCTGAGGCCCTAATTACAAGATCTAAACTGTCACTCATAATTGAAACACAACTAATGGACTCACTAATAGGTTTCCACAGAAACCTCTCAGCTTAAATGTCATTAAAGCAGCTGATGTGGAAGGCAGAGGGACGCGTGGGCGTTCAAAATTCATACGTCCCACGGCCATTAGCCCCGAGATTTATCCGACTGGTGAATTAATACAGGAAGCTATTTAAAGGCGCGCAGGGTGAGATATTCTAGGAAATGTTCATTAGTCTCTCCAGCATGTGGGGCTAATTAAAGCCCCGTCAGAAAGCATTTACTTTAGGCACAGCTCTGTGTGATTAACTGTGTCTCTGCATGGACACCAAACGGTGACCTACCTCGCCATGACCTCCAAGGTGTCCTTCCTGTGGACGGGGAGAGAGGAAAGGATCAAAATCAGGTATCTGCATGCAACGTAGGATTTAAATATCCTTTGACAAAGACTAAAAGTCAGAAGAGGACCAAAGCACGACAAAAATCCTCATTTTGAAATCCACCGAGTGCATTTTTCTTGGTTGATGTTCCAAAATAGAGCAAACAGCTGATTCGTCTTTTATGTTTAATCTTTAATGAAAATTTTAATTTGAGTTTTTTTGCTTCTTACTCAAAGAAATCTAAGAGTAAAACTCTCCAGGTCAATCAACTTAGTGTTAAATCTGCAGATGCAAACAAAAAACAACATATTTATTGTTGTTTGCTAACTTAAGGTAATGCACGAGGACTATAAAAGTAACTGTTATGTTTAGTGGTACTTACCTGAAACAGGGAAGAGAGATGACAGTTTCATAAAACCTCCAAGTGGCAATAAGGTCTTCCCTGATTGGATTGGTGGAATAATATCTCCAGGCAGACTTGAGATAGGAAGACAGGAGATCAACCAGAAGTTATAACAGCGCTCAGCTTAACTGAGTCCAGAAAACAGAAAGTCTCAGCTGGACCACGCAGAAAGATGCCGATGCCGTCAGGTAGCGTCTCACCTGGATGAGGCCTGCAGCCGGATGTCTGCGCTTCTCAAAGTGCTTCTGTCTGTGCTGCTCCTGGACCTTCAGAGCCAGGCCCGAGCCCAGAATACCCTGCAGCCATAAAAACAGAAAACACGTCGCTCAGTGCTCCTGTCGTGCTGCGGGACGCCAGTGCCGAGCAAAATGTTAACACCTCGCCTTTATCTTGGTGAGGGTTAGCAAAAGGTCACAACTTGGCTCAAAAGTCCTCCTTTGTCCACATCAACCAACGCAAGCAGATGTTTTACACGTACTTATTCACTCGGCTGCTCATGTATCACATACATGCAAACACATGACCTCCTGGTCATTAAGGAGGTGCAGGGCGGTGCTCTGCTAGCTGTATCCATGGGACTGATTACAGCTGATAACCTTCAGTGGGAACATGTTTTACCCACATGTTCTCATCGCAGAGTAACTGATGCTTCCAGAATGTGGAGGCTCTGGTTCGAGTCCCACTGAGACCTGCTTTCACTTGGTCGAGTGTCGGTAAACTGTGGGTGTAAAGTAAGGCTCTTTATGAACAATAGCCCTGCACAGTAAGAAGGTAGAGACAGACACATCATAACCCCGGGACCAGAGGACGCCTGGTGTATAAACGAGTGACACCAGTGGTTGATATCACGGCACTAACTGATGCCCCGGGAGAGAACTGACTGTTTTCTTATACTGAAAGAGGCGACACTTACTAATAATCTAGCATTAAAGTGTTACAATCAACTTATGTTGCACATTTTTTCTTCATAAATAAAAAGGTCAGAATTACTTGTGCAGTTCATACAAGACAGATTTCCTAACATGAGTATGTATTGATTGATTTATTCGGACTTAAATGAAACCCTGCACCATCAGCAGCGGTGTGTAGAGGAGAGCGCACTCACTGCAGGCAAAGCGAAGAAGGACACTCCGATCAGAGCGAAGGTGCCAGCTAGCAGCCTCCCAGCCCAGGTCTTTGGGGTTTTGTCCCCGTAGCCGATGGTGGTCAGTGTGATCTGAAAAACACAAGGAAGATAAAACACAGGCAGAAAATCTTTTAAATTAAATCACTAAAATTCGACACAACAGCCTCGCCGTCCTCGTTTCTGCAGTAATGTTTCCGTGGAGACTCATCTCTCTCTGTGACCTTCGTATCGATCCGTTAAAGGGCTCTTCAGTGTTTCCCGGAGTCAGAGGATCGCCCTGAAAAGCAGGCGGTGACAGTGGAACCTCTTGTTGAAGGACATTCTGGCGGCGCAGATGCTCGCTGTCATAGAGCTTGAACTTTTGGCCCCTCTGATTGAAGGACGGTCGCTTTAATGAGGCATTGGTGCTTCCCTTGCCAGAGGCCCTCATTAAAGCTCAGAGCTCTGCGAGCTTTCAAACGGGATTCACCGGAAACCCTCAGGCTTTCCACCGGCACATTACTAGAAACTAAAACCTGATTTTTTCCTGTCCTCTTGGCAGAAATCCCAGATTTGATTTAAAGCCAAAATATTAGCAGTTGATGATTTGGCCAGGCACCATCTGTCCACCGAGCTGCAGCCAAATCTACTCTCACCTCTAAGCTGCCAAAATCATTTCCAGACAAATAATTTGCAGAATTCAAGACAGGATTTTTTGTTTCCAGCAACAAAATTTCAACAATATGCATGTTAATTCACTGAGTGCAGCGTTAGTCGTAAACTTGGAGCTTATTTTTTTTAATGCACGTACCAGCCCCCACCAAAGCGCATCAGCGTAGGTGTCAAAGTCCTGCTCTTTGGGCTGGGCCGTGGGGTTCTCCTGGTCAGACATGCTCACAGAGGCGTCATCCTTTTCCACCAGGTAGACAAGGAAGGACGCCAGGATGAGAGACAGGAAGCCGATGTACCAGGCTGTGATCAGCTCCTGCAGAAAACAGGGAAATATTTGAAAGAAGCTGATATTTTTTTTATTTTAAATCCAATAAAAGACTGTTCTAATTCATTATTTACACATTCACAGCTGAGCAGCAGATTCCAGGTCTGAGAAATGAAGCCAAGAGCCGCAGTTCCTCTAATGTCCACTTGAGGCTGCCTTCAAATCTGAGTCAGTTCCTGCAAACTCCCATAAACTTTCTAATCGCTTCCAGTTTAGTTTCTTTACATCTTCAGCTCATGTGAGCGCTTCACTACACTTTACTCGATACTTCAAGCACTTTCAGTCGTCTCAGAGCGACAGCCGACTCCTTCCAGAGAAGTGCACATTTCCATAATTATATTTTCCAGCAACTTCCTTTAAAATGCTCACACGTCAGGAAGCAGGAAGTGTGCTCGGGTCCACGCCTACCTTACTGTGCGCGTAGATGGCGGAGCCCAGCAGCTTCCACGTCCCTCCTCTCCGGTCCATGCGCAGCATCCGCAGGATCTGCAGGAAGCGCAGGCTGCGCAGGGACGTGGCCAGCACATTTCCCTGGTTACGCACCGCCACCACCGGCACCGAGGCAATCAGCACGAAGATGTCTGAGCCGAAAACACAGCAGACAAAACCTCGCGTAAAAGACTGTCAGGGAAAAGCTTTCTTCACATGGTTAATGAGACTGACCCGACACGCTGATTCAGTCGTCTTTGTGGGACGACGAGTTCCTAACAGGAGCTGAACATAAAGACGCCGATGAGATGCTCCTAATACGTTTAATGGTTTTAACACACAAGGAGAATTAATGGGAATGCTTCTTCCTTCAAAGTGCCGCACAGCACATTATATCAGCTGTAAAATATTTGGAGGGTATTATTAACATAAAGTATATTCCCTGTGTGCACTGTGTTACTGCGCACACAGACTCACTCGGTAACCACTCGTCAGTGCACGCTGGTTATTACACCAAGCTGGATGGTTGAACAGAGGAGCTGTCTAAAGCTTTTAGAGCCTGGATCAGATTTTAAAGGTTGGTGATGAATAAAAAAAAAAGCCTTTCATGGCATCACAAGCTGTAATTCTTGTCCTGGAAGACTATTTCTGTGTTTATAGGTCAAGGCATCTGCAGGAAATCGAAAACTCATCATCATCCAAAAGCTGTTTCCCAAAAACTGCAGAGAAGTCTGCAAAATGGTGAGAGTCGCTTCATCTTCATCTGCAGAGCTGCTGTCATTAAAACCAGAAAACGTAAAAGAAAAAGCTGTTTTGCAGGAAAACTGACACCCACGTGCTGCAGCATCGCATCAAAAACACATTATGACGGAGCACATCTTGCTGCTATGTAAAGATTTACGTCACAGTAGCTACGTCCACCTTTACACTCTGTATGGTCTAACAACTGAAACAATCCTGATTTTCACTCCTGTGAACACCTGCAGATCTCACTGAAAGTCGAAGTTGACATTTACAGGTGCCAGAAAATGACGGAAACAAACTCTACATTATTAATTTCAGGGGTGGGGAACTCCAGGTCTCGAGGCCCGATGTCCTGCAGGTTTTAGACGTGTCCTTGATCCAACACAGCTGATCTAAATGGCTAAATTACTTCCACAACATGTCCTGAAGTTCTCCAGAGGCCTGGTAATGAAGGGTGAGATCTAAAACCTGCAGGACACACTTAGGCTTGGAGTTTCCTGCCTCTGATTTACTTATATCCAAAACCCCCTGTAGACGTGTCGGTAAGCCTTCCTTACTGACGAGCTCCCAGTAACACATCGTTCACCAAACAGGATGTTCAGCAGCAGATTTCCATGTTTAATGCTCAGAAACCTTTAATGACCTTACCTAAAATGCACAGGGGTTTGCGAGCGAACTTCAGCCTGCCCCTCCATCCTTTATAGCGACAGCAGCAACCGGCCGCCCAAATCCTCAGCGCAAACTCGGCTCCAAAGATGAAGATGGCGAACGTCTCCTGCACAAGGACACGTCAAAAACCCATTCACAGCTCGCTCAGATACGAGCTGCATGCTACATCAATAACGATTCAAATTCAGTGAAATCTTTCAGTTTTACTGAATCTGCCTCTTTGTTTGTTGTTACATCCTGTTTTGGACCCGCTCCACATCTGCTCTCTCGGTCGTGAAGCAACAAACAAGATTAAAAAAAGAGAAAATTGAATATTTGAAGTGTTGTTTTGTCCAAATAAGCTCTGATTTGTTCAGAAGGGCAAACGGAAACTGTCCAGGTGGGAATGATTTCAACCAAAAATTGGATTTCAATTTTATTTTGTACATTTTTCCTTCGGACGCTTCATTTTTGGAGATTTTCTTGTAATTTTCTGGCAGTCCTTTTATTAAATCAACATTTTCCTGCTTTAATCTAATATATTTATTATTTTGTACTTTTTAAAAAAATGTCCTCTAACCATTTATTGATTTACTTACTCATGTTTTACAGCTGCTCATTACTATCAGTCCTATTTCAGTCCTTTTAATGTTTGTGTATCTGCATTTTACACTATTTATTTTTTAAAACAGTGAAGTATTTATATTATAAGTATTTATATCAGCTGAGTTTACACACGTAGAAAAATATTTAGTATACACATCCAGAAATGCATATACTATTATATATTGTACATATATTTATTAGTTTCAGATGCAGCCATTATTGTATTTTGCACAACTCTATTGCTTGTGAAGCTCGCACACAAGAATTTCACTCACATGTGCTGTACCAATGTACCTGCACATGTGATGTGACAATAAAAGTGATTTGATTTGATTTGTTTAGTTTATTTAAATGTGAAATGCAAGTACCAGATTTTATGCTCCAGCACCCTTCGACCCCTGAATTTGACATTTTTTTAAAGGTCAAATTTGCTGATTTGAGTGAAACATGCGTCTGATGATGCACATTTAAAAAAGCTTCTGTTTAGTGGAACGATATATATATATATATATATATATATATATATATATATATATACATATATATATATAAAAAAAGATACAAACATAAATGAAGAAATGAAATCTCACCAGTATGACCAGCCAGTGTGCCGACACGTTCTCGTGTTCCTTGAATGTGGTCAGTATGGCCAGAATCAAACAGCCCAGAACGATTAAAAACCTGCAGACACACAAGAGGAAAAACATTCAGTTACAATAATGCACGACACTCATGTGCAGGACACACAAACACTACAGAGTGCAGGAAAAAAATCACTCAGAGTGAAACTGCACAGTCTTACTGTCACCACTAGAGGGGGCCACATCTCCCTTTAATTTATGCACGGGGGGATAAATTATATTATAATGTGTTTATATCACATTTACTCAAACCTGCAGGAGTAACTCCAGGATAAAGACTAAAAAAAACCAACAAAAACATCCTCATCAAACTTGTTGTCATGAATCTGTGGTTGCAGACCACGAGAGAAGGACTGACTGAACCTTTAGGACACATCAAGTCTTCAGGGGGAAGTGGACACGGAGGGGAACGAGACACATCTGAACACAAACTAAAACTTAAAGCTGTAACTGGATGAAAGATGGAAATCACAAGACAATGAAAATATAAAGTCAAACAGAGAATATTTGATGTTTTAACACATCTAAACCGAGACCACTACGATTAAAAAGCAGGAACACTGGAGGTCTGGAACTGCTTACTGTAACATGAGGTCTAAAAATGAAAAATTATACAGTCTTATTTAACAATGTGACAAACATACAGAAAGCACGCCGCAGTGATCAGAAAACAGTGTAGATACTTAGAACGAACATTTTATTAGCACAAGTCAGATTTTTTGTTAATTTCTGTTTTAATTTGACTGCATGCACAGAGTTTCATTTAAATGAGGCTAAATTACAGCACATATATAGCAAAATTCATTTCTTTCCGTTCCGCCTTTTTAATTTAACCGGGTAGGAGCGTTCATCCTGCTGCTCGTGCTGATCGGTTTAACTTCAGCGATTGTACTGCAGGCTCTCTGTTGCATAATGAATGTGTGCCTGGCAGATGAGTCGTTCAGAACTGGCTGAATTCAGACTAATCTCCACCGAGCAGGCCCGCTAACCACACAGCATCAGAAAAACAGCAGAATTTTCCTTTAAACTAAACAAATTGTGAAATAATTGTGAAGCCAGCAGGCTCACTGACAACCTCCCACTGCTACGATGAAATCTGCACACAGCGCTTTAAAAAAAGGGTTTGGTTTGGAAAAAATATTGCCATTAATTTCAATGGACAAACCAACAAAGTCAGTTTAAGTCACCTGTATTTATGCAGCACATTTGAAAACTATAGGAGCTGATCTAAAAGACATTACATTAGAAATATAACAACTACAAAAGCATAAGTGAAGCAGCACAATTAAAGGAGACCTATTCTGCTCAGTCCAGCTCCAGAAAGATAGTTTAGCTCCTCTGCCTTTAAGAAAAATGTCCTCTGATTGGCTGCCCCTAAACAACACATTGGAACAGCAGGTTGGTGGGATCTCTATGACATCATACAGCACCAGAAGGAGAAAAAACTGAGTGAAGCTAAGTTTTTAGAGCCGGCTCCAGTCTGAGCTGTTGGCTCATGGGGATTTCCTTTACACACCCTGACCTGATACGATAATATCGTACAATAATAACTGTTTAATATGAACAGCCTCCAAGAACAGGATAAACAATATGACAGAAAAAAAAGGTATAGACAATTGTTCCCCTGTAGAAGGCTTGTAGGAGGAAGAACGTAGGAGGGTCTGTACACAAGAGCTGATGTACGAGCAGCAGAGCTCGACATGATGCTGGATTTAAGAGCCTGGGGGCAGCGCCGCAGACAGACCAGCCAGTTTTGGTCTTAAGGTGGAAGCGAGAATTAATTAAACAAATTCAAGCATATTTATCATGACGCCAGTTAGCAGGCTAACAGGTGGCATCAATTTTCAATGCCCTTAAGCAAAGCACTCTCTTTGTCCAAACACAGCAGCATCCAGGGTGATAAATCACCTCTTGGACCTGTAGTGTAATAAGTGAAGCGAGGCTGTTATCACATTTGTTCACCTTGTGCTCGAGTACGCGCTGGTTGGTGGTCACATGATTATTAAAAATCCAGCTATGCAGCAGCATCATTGATCATCATCAGTAAGTAACCAGTGAAATAAAGACCCCAGCCTGGTACTGCATGCAAACGCGAATGCAGATTTTTATTCACTCATGTGATTGTCATGTTTAACCTGTGAGCCAGCAGGATGTGAGTCACCATTAAAGAGCTGAACACTTCAACATGCACAGTAAATGAGTAACAGTTGACTGTAAACAGCTGCACAGAGGTCACCAAGTGATGTTTACATGATGGTGTTAAAAGGTCTGACTTTCTAAACAAGCTGCATGAATCAATTACTGCAGTGGAAACAGCAAAATCATAGCCTGATGTAATCCCGTTAAACCAATAAACAAATAAGCAATAACAATAAAAATAAAACAATAGAAAAAAAGATAGAAAAAGTAAAAAAAAAAAAAATCCCACCCCAAAACAAACAAACAAACAAACAATATAAATCACACTTTAAAAACAAAAACGTACTATCCACAGACATCCACAATAGGAGTCACCAGTGCCCTCGATTAGTTACCAGTAACATTAAAGTAAGAAAACAGAGGAAATCAGGGATGGAACAAAGCCTTCTCAGCTGTGGTACGTGGGTCACGGCTCGTACCAGGAGGGAAACTTACCAGCTGCAGTAATCTGACTTAAAATATCAGGAAGCTTCATGAAAGCCAGAGAACAAAGTACAGAGAGTATAGAGTGTATAAAACAGCAGCTGGTTTGGTTTTCTGGAGCAAGAATTGAACAAACTGAAAGAAGGTGACGAGCTAGGTTATCAGCTAATGCTAGCTAGCTAATTAGCAAGCTACACTACAAACTAAGATGGTGAGCAACAAACACAAAAGCAAACAGAGCTGCCAAGTCACAGCAGGTTGATCACCAAAACTTCTTTGACATATTATTGACAGGTAACTGTTCTAAAAAACACCAAATGTGACTCAGAGGTGCAGTAGTTTAAATTAGCAGAGGTCAGGCCTAAAACCAAGCCAGGGAAAAACAAGATACCAGCGATCTGATCAAGTCGCAACAGTAGAAGATACTCTCCACAGAGTATCTTCTACTGTGGAGTAGGACTGGATGCAACAGAAGCACACTGGGCTGTCAATCAAAGGAGCCACACCCTTAACAGAAGTGTATCACCACCTGTACAGGTGTTAAACTGTCCATAGAGTCTAATCTGTTTTTGCAGCAGGCTGGGAAATTTTAACATTGGAGTCTATGGGGAATGACTCACATTTGGAGGACATTAAAGTAACAGAAGAATTTTAGTATTTAAGGCTTCATATTCCAGCCTCTGAACAACAGAATAAAGGCCCAAATTCAATTCATTTTTTTATGTAGCACCAAATCACAACAACAAATCAATTCAAGCCGCTTAATATTGTAAGACCCCAAGATAATACAGACAAACCTCAGCAATCATAGGACCTCCTATGAGTACAAACTTAACAATGGGAAGGAAAAACTCCCTTTTAACAGGAAGAAACCTCCAACAGACCCAGGCTCAGGGAGGGGCGGGGCCATCTGCTGCGACTGGTTGGAGGTGAGGGGGAGGGAGGCACAAAGACAGGCAGGGGTGAAGGTGGGTCAGTGGATGAAATAGAGCCTCCTGTGCAGTAAAAAACATCAAACACATTCAGCTAACTGGAGAAAATTTAGTAATTAGAAGAGTTAAATCCTCCTTCATTTGTGTGACTAATGACACGAAGGCTAAATACATCAAGATGAGCTTTAAAACAGGAAAGAAAAACTCTCTTTGCAGTTCAGTAGCTCCTGTTTCAGCCTTAATAAAAACATATTAGTTGTCCTCTATAATAAAATGAGAGCATAAACTATTTATTGTCATTTCCACTTGATGAATCCCCTAATTCTCATTCTGTGCCCTACCACCTAAATATTCAGTTTTCCACGGTCTAATGCTGCATTTTAAAAAGCTCGTACGACTACTCTTACACTTATATTTAGCTTCCAGAGCTCAAATTAATTGGATGCACACGTACAAATGGCTATTTAAAGGCTCCTGTAGAGTCGATCACACTGTGGCTGGATTCCAGGTACACTGGAGTTAACCGCCCAGCTATGATATACGACCCCGAACTGCGCTGAGCAAACTCAGCCGCAGGAAGGCAGCCAATTAACATTTATCCAGAGCGCCCATTACTCGCCACCATCAGCTCTGCAAAAGATTATTTTGTTCTTTCTCAGCTCGGGTGTGATGGGGTCATTTCAAAGCAACTCATCCAAGAGCTTCACAGCAGCCACGGGACAGATTCACTGATAATAAGAACCTCTGGAACATGTTATCATTTGCATAATTCGCAACACTACAGGCGTTGATGTTAAGACGCGAGTCGTGCAATTAGAGTCCAAATAAAGGCTTCTTGGTTTTTAACTTACTGTAGCCTAATCCAATCAAGTATTTACTGCAGTATTTCATCAGGGTCATTGATGTAAAATGGTTCAAATCTAAAAATAAGTGCAGAAAAGAAGCTTCGAGGCAGATGAAGATGAAGCAGCTCAACTGACAGATAAGTTGGGTTAACTCGATATTGCACAAAAATGGTTGAAAATGAGATTAAAGGAAACTGTATACGTTTTTCTGTGGGGTTAAATTGTTAGTGAATTTGTTTGGCCACTGCAGAGTTAATTAACTGGTAAGACTAGTATCTCGAGGAAGATATGGATTTGGATATTTGGGGGAAGGATCCTTTACTGTACATGTTTACATAAATGTAGGCGTGGAGCTCAAAAAGTCATCGATTGCTCCACCGTTTAGATTCTTTTCCAGTCCTCCACCCTTCCATTCCTGAGTCTTGAATCATTCATGGCCTGTTGTGTTGCCATTAGCCGGTGTCGACAACTCGGAGAAGTTTCTGAAGTGCTTCACAATCATAACAGCATCAATATTTCACAGCCAAACAGCCTGAAGAGCTTTATCGAATTGACCTGAAAGAAATGGTAAATGGCCTGTATTTGTATAGCGCTTTACTGGTCCCTAAGGACCCCAAAGCGCTTTACATATCCAGTCATCA